TGAGGGCAATGGCGCTCTTCACTAACATTTTTTGACCATTTCAACTTCGTACAGAGATAATTAGGATATCTCAAGCTCTCATTAAGATTTGCCTTTGTAACATGAGCAATATCATCCATCCTAGCCATCAAATGCAGCTGATACTTGAGCATTGCTTGATGTCTCAGATTATCAATCAGCTGGCCCTGGTTGGATACCATCTGCACTACCTGAATAAACTCCGCGTGGGTCATCTCCCTATCAGCTTCACTTGGTTTACCAGTGCCTCTCGTCTCAGCCTTCTTTGCTGCAGCAATCAGTGTATTGACTAGACGAGACTTAGTAGGATTCCCCACTTCATTAACCTCATCCCAAGCAGACTGTGTCAACATGAAATGAGACAGGGCCTTCTTCCAGTAGGACATTGAATTAGCCCTAGCATCTTTAGGACAGTCTGCATTACCAGGCTGAGCTTTTCCATAGGCTTTCACACAAAACCATCTGTAGATATCCTTTGGCCTAATCGCGGCCTTCTGTTCATCAGTGAATACATGATCATGATCATACACACAATCATCCTTGAATTCCATGAACTTRCARAAGCAATTGTAGTAKGTACCAATTGCCTTGGGGGCATTGACACCTAAGTCTGAATCTGGAATGATCCTCTTCTTCTTCCTCCCTGCTGTCGATTTCTTTTTCTTTTTGGTGCTCTTTCTCCTCTTCCTCTTCCTGCTGGCGTTGCTGGTGGTGGGGTCGTTGCTCGTGGGGTCGTTGCTCGTGGGGTCATTGCTCATGGGGTCGTTGCTCGTGGGGTCGTTGCTGCTGGCATTGCCGCTGGCATTGTTGTTGCTTGAATCGTCATCCTCTGCTGAGGACAGCATATATAAGTCTGGATCAACTCTCATTAGCTCTGCAAGCTCGGCTAGTGCTTGTCCTCCATCGTCACTGCTTGCCGCGTTGCTGCTGGTGGCGTTGCTTCTTGTCTCAGTGTTGCTTGTCTCAGCATTGCTCTCACMAGCTTTGCTGCTGCTTGCTGCGTTGCTGCTTTCCTCCTCATAGATGCTTGATTCGTTGCTGCTTGCCGCGTTGCTGCTGCTAGTAGCATTGCGTGTTCTTGCTGTTGATTTCTTGCGAGGCATCGTATCGACCAGCAAACCACTAAACTGGACCAAACAGGCTTTCTACTGGGTCCTTTGGAGCACTTAAAGGCACAATAAATCGACAATGGAGATGAGGGATGCAAAAGTCGTAGTATGACTGTCTAAGATTGAGTGTAAGTGCTTCAAACACCATGGGCGAGTTGCTCGGAAACAGTTTTTCAATAGAATGAATAAAGCTGTTTGCTGAGGGGGAGGAGGGGGGGGGACCTACACAAATTCCTACACGAATTTAGTACTAGAAAATAATCATCGCCAACGACTCCATTGATCCCTTTTATGTGGGAGTGTGTATCATTATTTGTATCATTCAGTTAGCAGTTATACGGTGGGTTATTATACTTATTAGGCAACTCCRGTAGTTAATAAAATAATACAAGTACAYACATCAGCACCGTAGAAATGTACACAAAAAAAATTTCGTACCACTAAATATGAGGGGTGCGAAAATATGTACCATATAAATATACAGTCAAACAACGGTAAAAAATACATGTGTATCATTTAGCAGATACCGTACTTGTACTTTCCCTGAACTGAACCCTACAACGTACGTACTACTACGGCAGTATTCTTGTACAGTGTTGGATCGTGCATTTTGAGGGATGCAACTATGAGAGGAAAAGCAGCATTTTTTTTGCGTACTGACAACGAAAATATATGTGGGGGTTGACTTACTTGTTTCGATTCTCGGTCTGCGCATCCGTTGCATGGTACTTAGACTTTTTCGTCGAAAATGTTCAACAGAAGTTAGAATGGCGTATATAATTGCCACATTGCTGTTGGCAAAATCCCGATAGTCAGGCGATAGCGCCGAAACTCACTTAGGATCTACCTGTAGAATACCGTACAAAGTCATTCGGTACGTGTGCTAGTCACTTGATAACCGCCGACACGATATTCAACTTTATCACAACAGACAGAAAAACCAAGTGATGAACTAGTGTCGTTTACCGTATCGTACAAAGCGCACATCTCTATCAATACCTCACGATCCTGGTACGGTACAGTGATCGGTTGAAAGCAGCAGCTCTGCTATTTTTCCCACGGAGGTTCCATCGAACGTCTTGGCTGTCAGGATTACAGTTTCTTTGGTTTCATCTGCATTCTCAAAACTACTACTGGAGGGCAAACCATTCCTGCATTTCGTGAGTTTGTAGTTTCAAAGATATTCTGTTTGTTATCAACCGTGCAACGCGATCGTTCTGTTCTTCCGAGGGATAAATCAACTATGACAGCTGGTACCGAAGGGATTGCTTTGGCTTCGGCTGGGTCAAATGATGCCACAAATAAGGATACCATGGCACTCTCAAAGACTTCGAAAACTAGTGTACTAGTCATTGAAACAAATGACGAGAATATTGGTTTGAATTCACCCTCAACAGACACAACTCTTAGTTTGAGATCAATGAGGATTGAGGAGCAATCAAAGGAGACAGAGGTTCTCTTGGTTGGGTTAGATGTTTACTCTGATATTGCGAAGGACGACGATTGCGAGAGTGTTTCTTCATCAACAACCTCAAGCAGCTTCATGTCCATCTACTTCGAACGAACTGATTTCTTGCCGTGGGAAAACTTGTACGCGAAAGCAGAATATGCACCCCATGTTGGGTTCGCAATCGCTGCTGGCGGTTTTGCATGTATGCATCCTTTCATGTTCTTTGCGGGGGCAGTCACGGCCATGGGAGCCTTGAGAGCAGCTGGTGCCGCGTACGACTATGCGACTTGCAGTTTGCAATCAGTAAGCACGGAAGATGCAGACGGACAAGCGACAACTTCCTGCGATTGGTTTCCAGCTGCCTTTTCGCTGAGTTATACTGATGACAACATCAATGACGAAGCGAAAAGACAATTCTCTCCCGTGCGGGGAAATATGGGAGACGTGGAATCCGTACCGCTCTTGGCAAAAACCTCATCATCTTGCTCCACAAGTGCATCGACTACTGTGGAATCAGTAGAAAACGAAATCAAACTTGGCAAAAAGGAGAATGCGAGTAAACCAGTTGTGAACGATCCCTCGATGCCTTGTTTGATTCAATCGCCTCCAAAAATTTACCATCAAGGGACGTTAGAAACTTTGGGCCCCGTTCAATGGGTCAAAGATACCTTTCCATCACTTCCAACTATTGCTCTTGACAACGCCGAGTTTCGTGGACTCTATGCGCAAGAGTTTTTTGACGTATTTTTCGCTGACGATGCCCCGTTTGGATTCCCGGCCTTCCACAAATTGAGAAGAGACAAGGAAGTGAAGTATGGTTTGTGGAGAAATGGAATATCATCGGAGATTTTTGAGAGTGATGGCAGTGGCATCGAACTTCCTCCCACCCTTACTACGAAGGAAAGAGACGTGGAATATCATGCCAAGACMAATTCATTTTTGGGTCCAGCCTATGCACCTACAAAGAAAACCCAACGAGCATATTTTGTGTCGAAGAAGATGCTTGTCGTTGATATCAAAATGACTCTTCACGACATTCCCTTCAGTAAGCAGTTTTATCTTATTGAACGATGGATCATTGATGGAACTCACAGCAACGCCAAAAATCAACCCAAGGATCTTCATTCACGAAAGAAAAACAAGAACTCAAATTCTTCCAAACCCTCTTCGTCTCATTGTGTGTACGTCACGGTGTCGTCGAAAGTTTGCTTCACTCAAGAATGCGCATTCGAGTCGACAATCGCCAAAGAATCGGCGAAGCAAGTTTGCGAAATCTCAAAGTGTTGGAACATAATGGCACAAGACGGATTGAAGCGAACAGAGGAAGCGAGGATGAAACGATTGCGTCAAAAACAGCTAATAGAGGAGCAACGTGCCAGGCGAGAACAACAACAAGGAGTTATGTCCTCTCCGCTATTAGCTCAATCGTCAGGTATTGCCAAACAATTTGAGAACGACGAAAGCATCGAAATCGAGCATTTAGATATTGTTCTTCCCGACCACAAAAATGAGTCTCGAAGAAATGGTAGAAACAGGAGTTGTAATGGAAGCAGACGGAATTCGTTCCCGCTTCGTCAAAAGAACGATGGGACACAAACAAACCGTCGAAGCTTGTCGCGAAAGTTTTCCAAGATATTGTCTCGTAGTGGCCATCCGAATGGTATCGACGTAAGAACCGGAAATGAGGTCTTATCATCGCCTCCGAAAGTTCGAATTTCTAGTGCTCCGTGCTTATGATTTTAAAACACGCCGAACGACACAACCATGTGCCGAGTGCAGAATTAAGAGGGATGAAAAGCAGCTTGGCTATCGGCGAATGAAATCTGCACAATACAATTTCATTGAATACAATAGACAAAATTACGTACATTTTGACGCAACACTTACGTATGTTTGTAGCTAAAATAATTATGTTGCTCAGTGTTAGTCATCGCGGCCATTCGGTGCTGCAGTCATTCTATCATCCACCAATTTTTGTGTTTTCGCTCAGAAGCACCGTGTCCTTGTGGTTCGTGATGCGAACGGCGCGCAAATACTTAATGTCCATGCGGCCTTCTTGCTGCATCGATTCTGGCATCAGCGTCGACGCCAATCCCTGTATTTCGTCCGAGAAGAGCTCTGGGGACGACTCGGGGCCGAATTTCTCTACGCGGATTTGGAGTCCGTCGCGCTCGTTCCGCTTCGACGTGAGTTCCTGCTGAAAGACGCTGAACCAGCCACCCCGCGGCCACTGGACGACCCAAACGACGCATTGCGGGTGGAGCCTCAGGAGTTTCGCCACCTGGTTGGCACAGCTGGATGTTGCTTCCGTGTAGACCAGTGCAGCGCCGCAAGCAAAGGAAACAATACCGCGCTGGTTGCTTTCGTCGGCACCGTCGCCGCTGCTGGAGTTGTCCTTGTCCCAGAGCACCGGAGATTGATCTTGGTCGTATTCGTTCCAGTCCAGATGCGCGACGTCGATGTCCGGTGCAATTCTATTGTTTCCATTTGCGCTCGTGTTTTTGTTTGCGCTCGCATTGTGGTTCTCCTTGCCGTCCCCGCATTCATTACTGAATTCGGATTCTGAGAAGTATCTGGAAAGTGCTTGGCGGGTTCCTTCAGCGTTTCGTTCGAGTTGCTTCAAACACATTTCATCATAATCCGTCAAAACGACCTTGTTGTTCGAACAGGATATATCCTCTTGCAGCAAGGAAGTTTTTTGCTGAAGCTGGGCTAGGATCCATGCCATTGCCATGCCAGAGAGGCCTATGGTGCCACTGCCTAGTTCCAAAAAGATATTATCATCGTTTCTACCCGTTTTTGCTACCTTGAGATTGCTATGTGTAAAAGCCCGTTTCAGATCTTCCCTCATCAAGTCAATTCCCCTGGATCCGCTGCTGTCCCGTGAATCGCTTCCGTCGTTTGGGAGGACCCCTTCCCCTGATTCTCCCTCCCTGCCGCCGTTGCTGTTCCTGCTACAGGCGACCATCATCATGGCGCTCAGGACCGCCGACGCGTACCATCCCCTCGCACCCACCGGCATTTGTTCATTGTTCTCCGACAATAGCGGCAATGGTATTAATTCGAGGACTAGAGGCAGCTGCTTTCCCGCTTTGTCTACAGTTTGTGCAAAGCCAATGCTCTCCAGCGCGGGAAAGGAATAGGATGTATTTTTCGTTTCGTCGTTGGAAATAAACCAATCTTCATCGCACGGTGTTGTCCCCATGATTGTTAGTTCTCTCCTTTATGAAAGACAAATTAAGGATTTAGAAAATGGATTGAAAGCAACCATGAAGATGATCAAAATAGCAATTGCATCCCGTGCATGTACCTCCGGACATCATGCGAGATCATACCGTGGCACGGTACTTTACTTGTACATGCATAACCATCCACCGGATTGGGATGTGAGCAGCGACCACCCCCGTTCGTGGTTGCGGGTAACTCGGGAGTCAAGTCGTAAAAAAAACTTTTTTGATTCCTTCGTACGTACGGTACTTCGAAAGGATGGATGTATTTTCTTAAGCCTCTTTGTACTAATGCGCACGAAAATAGCTTATTAGAAGTATTACCGTCGACACTAGAAACGGATAATTGCAAATATTTCGTACGTACGTTAAGTACATACCAATCTTACATTACTTTTGAATGCGGTAGATGGTACAGGAGATAGTAGATAGATACGTGTCGCACAGGTACATGCTACTGTAGCGTACAATATCTCTAATTTTCAGGGCCCTCCGGTACCCACGCGCACATCCCCCTTTTC